ACATTCACCGGCAGACTGACGATGCTTCGCCAGCTCTGTATTTGGGTCTTTGACTGTGGGATCCTCGATGAACCACCAGATATGAGCGACGCCACAACGTTCAAAATAGGTGGGCAAATCTGACGGCGCGCCGCGCACCTGGATCTCGTTCCCACACAGGGTCACGACATGGGAGATCTTTGTCGTGTACTCCACCGTCATGATGATGCCAACAAAGGAAAAAATTCAAGCAGCTGTAACAACAAATCTGATGCTGATCATGCTAAAGCCGTCACCGTCATGCCGATGCAAACGACGGAAAAAATCCAATCAGCTACAATAACACATCGAGTCAGCTGGGTCTATTTCAAGCCAAGTATACAAATACAACACAACCTGAAACACATGTAACTCTCATGCCGTGAAAGAAAATATGACATGACATCAAATATGAAAATATGATGTGCCATGAGATGATGATCTCACGATACGCCCGTGATATGCTATTGTGATCATGAGCTAACGATGAGGTCGATGACGATTGCAATGACGTAGCTGCTGGTAATGATGATGATGATGATGATGATGGTGCTGACGACGATGATGATGATAATGATGATGATGATGATGTGGATGATAAGGATGATGATGATGATGCTGATGATGATGATGAAGGTGATGATGATGATGATGATGATGATAATGATGATGATGGTGCATGTCGCCAGGCACGGTTTACACCACACGTTGTTTACGCCAGACGAAGTAACCATGGAAAAGTTTACACCAGACAAAGCCGACAAAGGTTTACACCAGAGAAGAGTTTACACCAGACATCGATTACACCAGACACCGTTTATACACCAGACACGGTTTACACCAGGCGTCGTTTACACCAGACAAGGCCAACAAAGGTTTACACCAGAAAGAGTTTACAGCAGAGACAGTTTACACCAGACAGCGTTTACACCGGACACCGTTTACACCAGACAAAAAGGTCTTACCGCAGACGAGGTTTACACCAGACAAAACCGACAAAGGTTTACACCAGAAAGAGTTTACAGCAGAGACAGTTTACACCAGACAGCGTTTACACCAGACACCGTATACACCAGACACGGTTTACACCAGACGTCGTTTACACCAGACAAAGCCAACAAAGGTTTACACCAGAAAAAGTTTACACCATAGACAGTTTACACCAGACAGCGTTTACACCAGACACCGTTTACACCAGACATGGTTTACACCAGACATGGTGGAAACCATTGCAGCAGCAATTATAAGGCGATTAGCAACAAAAGATTGCAAAACACCACGTAACTACGCACTGAACGATGACACAGGAACACCTTCGAGCCAGAACTATAAGGCGAATAGCAACCAAAGCGTGTAAAACACCATGTAACTACGCACCGAACGATGACACAGGAACACCTTCGAGCCAGAACTATAAGGCGATTAG